GGATGTGATGTGACTAACCGCACGTCAAGCATTGAGAAATTGTGGCAAACTGTTACTTAATAAAGTTGCATCAATGGCATTTTACGCTGTTGTGAATTAATTTGTAATTAAATTTTAATTTTTAAACTTTAACAACCATCCCTCTCCCCGACGACAGTCTGAGAGTAAGCCAGTCTCTTTGCAACCTTGGTGTCTCATTTCATGCTGTGATGAGCTTCAAAACTTCATACGTGTGTCATCTCCGAGACCGTCCATTCCGGCCTCTGGAATGATATCCGACTTCCTCCGAGCCTCAGCCCATCTGACGAAATCCTTAATCTTGCCTTTGTTACCTCTAGACTTCACTATTCCTGTGCACTCGTAGCTGGTCTCCAATGTATTGTCCTCCCTAAACTTGTGGTCACTCAAGTTTTGATGCTGCTTTAATTCACAGTAAAACCACTCCCTGTTTGCTGACCCATCTTGATTTTTAACATTCTCATCCTTGTTTTCCAACACCTCCCCCCAACCCCCGCTAACCACTGAGCCACCGGGCTGCCCTTGCTGATATGTTTCTGAACTCCAATCTCCCTGTAACCCTTGATCCCCTTACTGGTCACTGTGCTATACAGACATCATTTGTTGCTCTGTTATTCAAGTGAAAGGCTACTCTGTACATTATCTGTACCACAATAATTGTGATTTTTGTGGATACCATTTGGCCAATCGTGCTTAACAAATCTATTGGGGATTTTGAGGACGTAACCAGTAGAACCAGTGATGCGGTGCATTCGTAATTTCAGAACGTTTTTGATAAGGTCCCTCCAAAAAAAGGTAAATGGGTAAAGTTAGAACACATGGGATAGGGAGCAATATATTGGCGTGGAGTGAAAATTGGTTGACTGACAGGAAATGGGGAATAAATGGGTCTCTTTGAGTAGCAGAGATTAGTGGGGTACTGCAAGGTTCAGTGTTTGGGCCCCAGCAATTCGCAATATACAAAAATGACTTGGATGATGGATCCAGAAGCAACACTTCCATGATTGGTGATGATACAAAATGGGCAGCACACAAAATGAGTGAGTGCATGAAGGCATGGCAGATGCAATAAAAACGTGGCTAAATGCGAAGTTATATGCTTTGGTGTGAGACACACGAAGAGTATTATTTTACGTTGTGATATACTGGGAAATGTGGATGTACAAAGGGATCCTGACATCCCTATACACTAGGCAATGGAAGTACACAGGCACATGCAGTAAACAAATAGGAATGTAATGGTATATCGACCTTCATTGCGAGATGATTTGTGTTCAGAAGTAAGGGATACCTTCTACCTTGTGAGAAAAGGTTTCCTTGTGTCACACTTACTGCTTTTGAAAATCTCTGCCCTCTTGTTCTCATCCCTTTCATGGGTTCTATTTTCTCTTTTGCTGCCCGTGGTCAATGTCGAGACCAGACCTATCAGATCATTATCACCTTCCCGCAGGGTCATAATCTTGAGCATTGACACTTGTATTGATATCTCCATGACGTGTCTCTTTCTCTTGTTCTCCAATTTGTCTTACTACTCACTTATGAGTTACAGCAAAGATTGCAACAGAGTGAAATAGCTTCCTTTATGAAATTGAAAGTCTGTTGTGTAGGATAGTCCAGATCGATGTAATTTTCCCCTTGAATGCCCATTCAGAAAAAATTAATTATCAAATTGATGGTATTAAATAAATCTTATTTGATTGACCACTCGATATCTTTGGGTTTTTTTTTGAAGTACTATCTCACCACCATTAAGCTGGGACCCTGACGAGCTCTTCTTAAAGTAACAGGACCGGCAATTTTTTTTTGCGTGTAGAAACCACCCATGTGCCTTCTGTATTTGGAAGTAAAGACATCAGGCATTTTCACTAACCGTTTTTTTTGGCCTTTTGTGCCCAAATTTGTATTCTGTTCACAATTTCCACCCCCTTCCTGAAAATCTGTAGCCTAGGGGTGTGTTGGATAATCAGACCAGGTTACTATCTGGTATCATCACCCCTGTGTGTAGCTATTTTAGTGAAAGAAGTAATCCTTGACTGTCACACCTATTTAAATATATGGGCGTTCACTATCTAGACTTATTTTAAAAAAAAGCTATGCCTTTAGGAGACATGGGGAGTAGAGAACATAGAACAGTACAGCAAGATAAAGGCCCTTCGGCCCACGATGTTGAGCAGACCTATTATCCTACTAAGATCAAACTACCCTGCATACCCTACATTTTACTATCCTCCATGTGCCTATCCAAGAGTCACTTAAAAGTCTCTAAAGTTTCTGACTCCACTACCACTGCCGGCAGCGCATTCCACACGCCCACCACTTTCTGTGTGAAGAACCTACCTTATACATCTCCCCTATATCTTCCTCCAATCACCTTAAAATTATGCCCCCTCATAACAGTCATTTTCCCCCCTGGGAAAAAGTCTCTGGCTATCCACTCTGTCTATGCCTCTCATCCTCTTGTACACCTCTATCAAGTCACCTCTCATCCTTCTTTGCTCCAATGAGAAAAGCCCTAGTTCCCTCAATCTTTCCTCATAAGGCCTGCCCTCCAGTCCAGGCAGCATCCTGGTAAATCTCGTCTGCACCCTCTCTAAAGCTTCCACATCTTTCCTATAATGAGGCGACCAGAACTGAACACAATATTCCAAGTGTGGTCTAAAACAGGGTTTTATAGAGCTGCAGCATAACTTTGTGGCTCTTAAACTCAATTCCCCTGTGAATGAAAGCCAACGCACCATATGCCTTCTTTAAACCCTATCAACTTGGTAGCAACTTTGAGGGAATCTATGGATGTGGATCCCAAGATCCCTCTGTTCCTCCACAGTGCCAAGAATCCTACTATTAACTCTGTATTCTGTATTCAAATTCAACCTTCCAAAATGAATCACTTCACACTTTTCTGGGTTGAATTCCATCTGCCACTTCTTTGCCCAGCTCTGCATCCTGTCAATGTCCCCATTGCAACCTACAACAGCCCTCCACGCTGTCCACAACTCCACCATCTTCATGTCATCGGCAAACTTACTAACCCAGCCTTCCACTTCCTCATCCAAGTCATTTTAAGATCACAAAGAGCAGAGATCCCAGAACAGATCCCTGCGGAACACCACTGGTCACCGAGCTCCAGGCTGAATACTTTCCATCTACTACCACCCTCTGTCTTCTATTGGACAACCAGTTTTGTATCCAGACAGCCAAACTTCCCTGAATCCCATGCCTCCTTACTTTCTGAATGAGCCTACCATGGGGAACCTTATCAGATGCCTTGTTAAAATCCGTAAACACCACATCCACTGCTCTGCCTTCATCAATGTGTTTTGTCACATCCTCAAAGAATTCAATAAAGCTTGTGAGGCATGACCTGCCCCTCACAAAGCCATGCTGACTATTTCTAATCAAACTGTGCTTTTCCAAATAATCATTAATACTATCTCTCAGAATCTCTCCAATAATTTGCCCACCACATGAGTTCCAATGATTGGGAATCAGCTCTTCTGTTCTTGCAGTTTGTGTCAAGTTTGGCTGGAATAGTGAAGCACAAAGCTGAAGTGATGACCCTGTTAGAGTCAGAGACATACAGCACAGAAACAGACCATTCGGTCCAACTCATCCATGCTGACCAGGTATCCTAAATTAATCTAGTTCCATTTGCCAGCATTTGGCCCATATCCCTCTTAAACACTTCCTATTCATGTACACATCCAGATGTCTTTTAAATATTGTTATTGTACCAGCCTCCCCCACTTCCTTCGGCAGCTCATTCCATACACGCACCACGTGCGTGGGAAAAATTACCCCTCGGGTCCCTTTCAAATCTTTCCCCCTTCACCTTAAACCTGTGCCTTCTAGTTTTGGATTCCCCTACCCTGGGAAAAAAGACTTTGGTTATTCACCCTATCCATGCCCTCATGATTTTATAAACCTCTACAACGTCACTCCTCAGCCTCCAATGCTCCAGGGGAAAAAAGCCCCAGCCTGTTTAACTCTCCCTATAGCTCAAACCCTCAAATCCTGGCAACATCCTTGTAAATCTTTTCTGAACCCTTTCAAGTTTAACAACATCTTTCCTATAACAGGGAGAGCAACATTGAATGCAGTGTTCCAAAAGTGGCCTAACCAATGTCCTCTTGCTGACTGGAATCAAACGTTCTTGGATCACTTTGCATTAATATAATTTCTGGATTAAAAACAGATATGAAGACACTTGGTAGGTTGTAAACAAGATTTGCAAGCATAACATGCGATTATAACTGTTGTAAAGAACGAACAGGCAGGAACTTCAGAAAAATGAAAGGAAGCCTAAGAGGTGAGTAGCAAAATCATGAAGCAGTTTGATGAGAGAGATGTGAAGAGGTTGTTTGCATTTGTGGGGAATGTCCCTCTAAAGGCTTATGAATGTAAGGTGGACCCTAGTTAAAAGCAATTTGATGCAGGAAAAACTTTTAAAATCAGAAATTGGTTTGACTGTGGAACTTATTACAGTCTGAGGATATCACATCAATGGTGGTTTATTTTCACCTCCTAAACGACAATCACTTTTTCAAGATAGTGTCCCATTTGAGAAGGAGCTGGAAGCAAAAAGGCCTACCTATGGTTTCATTGCTCATGAACCAGAATGTTAGCAGCTGAATCCAGCTGCTTATGGTACATATTTACAAAACCTTGAGGATCCTACATTAAAATCGTTGTGTAGTTATTCACTGCTGTCTTACAGAAAATAAGTTACCTGCATTTATGTAGCGTCCTTTCAGGGCCACTGACTCAGTTATTGACAGTCAATAAAGCGCTCCTGAAGAGTAGTCACAGTTGTGTCGCAGGGAACACAGCAACTCCCACATACAGCAACGCGGTGATGATTGAATATTCTGGTTTATTTTGAGAGTTGTGAGGTGTGTATTGCCCCAGGACACACATTTAATTTTGACCAGAGGGGGCAGATGGAGCCTTTGGTTCACTGATTCATCTGAAATCCTGATACCTCCAGTAGATTGACAGCTCCCTCAGTACAGCACAGGTGCGTTTGCTTGATCTTTGCATTCAGGCTCCAGAGTGGGAATTGAGCCAAGAACCTTCTGACACACAGACAAATGTACTACCCACTGAGCTGTGGATGACAAAATATTGAACTTTTTTTTTGAATAACAACAGAGGATGTTTACAAGCCACAAATATCTGCATGGAAGGAAAATGTTGTGGGTTAATAATGTCTTCAATATCATTATCAGATATGGTAGCAATGTGAAAATTAATCAACATGAGGCTATACTGCCAACTGAAACACTTCTCCTTAGATTGAGTGAGATAGCCTAACTTCAGTGGAGCTGGGTTTGTTTACTTGAATATTTTCTGACTGGTTTCATTACATAGAGTGTTGTTTCCACTTACTATAATAGTCACCATAGTCCTACTGGGCCATAGGGCTGCTCTCTCAGAGAGAGAGAGAGAGAGAGAGAAACCAGAAGTTGCTGGAAAAGCTCAGCAGGTCTGGCAGCATCTGTGAAGAAAAGATCAGAGTTAACGTTTTGGGTCCGGTGACTCTTCCTCAGAGCCATTGATAAAGCACTCCTGAAGAGTAGCCACAGTTGTGTTGCAGGGAACACAGCAACTCTCACATACAGCAACCCTTCCTCACAGGGAGAGAGAGAGAGAAAACTGGTTCTCAAGTTCTAAATTGGAGGAGGGCCAATTTTGACAGTATTAGGCAGGAACTTTGAAAAGTTGATTGGCAGTGGATATCTGCAGGCAAAGGAATGGCTGGAAAGTGGGAGCCCTTCAAAAGTGAGATAATGAGAGTCCAGGGACAGTACCTCCCAGTTAAGGTGAAGTGCAAGGATTAGTAGGTGTAGCAAATGCTGGACGACCAGAGAAGTTGAGGTTCTGGTCAAGAAAAGGAAGGAAGCATGTGTCAGATATAGACAGCAAGGATTGAGTCAATAGAGGAGTATAAGAGCAGTAGGAGTATACTTAAAAGGGAACTCAGGAGGGCAACAAGGGGACATGAGATAACTTTGGCAAATAGGGTTAAGGAGAATTCAAAGGGACTCTACAAATATGTTAAGGACAAAAGAGTAACAAGGGAGAGAGAAAGGCGACCCTGCTGATCTTTAAGGAGCCCATGTGTGGAACTGCAGGAGATGAGTGAGATACTAAATGAGTATTTTGCATCAGTGTTTATTGTGTAAATGATTAGGATGTGAATAGGAGGTATAGCTAGTAAGTTTACAGATGATACCAAAATTGGTGTTGCAGTGGACAGTCAAGAGGTTATTCAGAGTACAATGGGACCTTGTTCAGATGGGCCGATGGGCTGAGGAGTGGCAGATACTTTAATTTAGATAAATGCGAGGTGCTGCATTTTGGAAAGGCAAATCAGGGCAGGACTTATTTAATATAAGGTCCTGGGAGGTATTGCCGAACGAAGAGACCTTTTGAGTGCAGGTTCATAGTTCCTTGAAAGTGGAGTCACAGGTAGGCAGGGTCGTGAAGAAGGCATTTGGTATGCTTGCCTTTATTGGTCAGTGCACTGAATAGAGGTGTCGGGAAGTCATGTTGTAGCTGTATAGGACATTGAAAAGGCCACTTTTGGGATACTGCAATCAATTCTGGTCTCCCTGCTATTGGGAAGATGTTGTGAAACTTGAAAGGGTGCGGAAAAGATTTACAAGGATGTTGCCGGGTTTGAGCTATAGGGAGAGGCTGAATAGGCTGGGGCTATTTTCCCTGGCGTGTCGGAGGCTGAAGGATGATGTTATAAAATCATGAGGGGCATGGATAGAGTGAATAGTCAAGGCTTTTTCCCCAGGATAGGATAGGTCAAAACTAGAGGGCATTGGTTTAAGGTGAGAGGGGAAAGATTTAAAGGGGTCCTGAGGGGGAACTTTTTCACGCAGAGGGTGGTGCGTGTATGGAATAAGCTGCCAGAGGAAGTGATGGAGCCTGGTACAATTACAACATCTATAAGGCATCTGGATGGGTATATGAATAGGGATGGTTTAGAGGGATATGGGCTAAATGCTGGCAAATGGGACCAGATTAATTTAGGATACCTGGTCTGCATGGATGAGTTGGACCGAAAGGTCTGTTTCCATGCTGTACATCCCTAGTACTTTATGGTGGTGGTTTAACCTGAGGGTCACCACGTCTCAGGCAAGCGAAGGGGCTGAGAAGGAGAATCCTTCATAATAACCTGAGCCAATGCAAGAATTGAACCCACGCTGTTGACGTCACTTTGCATCATAAACCAGCCGTCAAGCCTCTCAAGTGTGAAGATGCAGTTGTGCAAAAGGGCCACAAAAATACCATTCCAATAAAGAAAATAGCCCAATCAAAAATCTGCTGAGTTCTGTCAGTTATTCACCACCAAGCAAATTTCCAGTCAGGTATCATGCATAGTGCTTTTGGATTTCCAAAAGATAGTCAGTCGGGTAGCACTAAAGATGACTGCACAAGAAAAGAGTTCCCAGTGTTGAGTAACATATTAACATGGATAGGGGACTAGCTACCAAATGGGAAATAGCGTAAATTAGTCATTGTACAAGTGGGGTGCCACAGGAATTGGTGGCGGAGCTTCCACATTTATGATCTATATTAATGTCTTCGATGGAGGGATTGAGTGTCATAGAGATCTGCAGCAGGAAAAAAAGACTCTTCAACCCATCAAGTAGGACAGCACGGTGACTCAGTGGTTAGCACTGCTGCCTCCCAATGCCAGGGACTCGGGTTCAATTCCAGCCTCGGGCAACTGTCTGTGTGGAGTTTGTGCATTCTCCCGTGTCTGCGTGGGTTTCCTCCGGGTGCTACGGTTTCCTCCCACAGTCCACAGATGAGCAGGTTAGGTGGATTGGCCATGCTAAATTGCCCATAGTGTCCAGGGATGTGTGGGTTACCCATAGGAAATACAAGCTTACGGGGATAGGGTAGGGTGGTGAGTCTGGTTGGGATGCTGTTTGGAAAATTGGTGTGGACTTGTTGGGCCGAATGGCGTTTCCACACTGTAGAGATTCTGTGGATCTGTGCTTACGATTGTGCAGGGCATTAGCGCAACCATACCTAGAAGACCATGTTAAATTTGATTTTTTTTTTAAAACTTCAGGAAGGATACATTTGCACTGAAGATCATTCAGAGAAAGCTAACTAGGTAGTTTCCTGGGAGTAATGGGCTGTCTTATGGAGGAAAGTTTGAGCAGATTGGGCCTATACTCCATTGGGGTTTAGAAGAATGAGAGCTGATCATATTGAAACTCTGGTCTTACTTGGCAGCTTAACAGGGTGGGTGCTGAGAAAATGTTTCTCAACAAAGTGTAAAATAAGGAGGTTTAAGATGTGAATGCAGAGGGAATTGTCCTCTCAGAATAGCTATTTTTCGGAATTCTCCACTGCAGGGTGCAGTTATGTTGGGCTTTGGGTGGGGGGGCAAGATTATAAAGTTAAGGGTACTTTGCAATCAGATCAACCATGATCTTATTGAATGGTGAACAGGTCTGAGGGGCCTAATGGCTCATTTCTTATGTCATTCTCGCAATTTTGTAAATGATCTTTTTGCTAATACGTCAGTGTAGACCACCTATGTGGCATCTTTCATATACTGCAATCTGATTGCAGGTAGAATATGCATTTGATGGCTTTGTCATGTATAAGTGTGAGGGATTAATTTTGTGAAAGTGTTCTCTGACTCTGGTGCCTGCGATCAGCAGATGAGCACTAAGTTGCTTTAAACTGAAACACATCAAAAGGGATGGTTGAAGCATATTCGGTGACTACAATAATATTTCACTAACTTTAAAACACTTCAGGATATTTTGAGATTGTGAACGGTCCCACATAAATATGTTTGTTCATGCTTTAATTCCAATATGTTTTTATAACACTGCTTAGTGGAGCTTGTCCAGTGCTGCACTGTAAAGAGTGTGACATTACCCAATGGAGTGTTTGCTTTCCTTATCTCTCCTCCCAAAGATTTCTCCACATAATCTCCACGTGAGTGAAGGAAGCTGATTTAACCGCTTTTACGTATTCAAACTGCCCGTTTTAAAACATTTCAGCTTCTCGGATCATAACTGACCAGACTGAACTGAGAAAGATTGAATCACTTGGAGGAAATAACAGCCGGACCAGAGAGCTGATGTGGGCATGGGGAATGAGACAGGCGACAGTTCAACAGCTTCTACACATCCTGAATGAGATGCAGCTGTACCGTGCAGTCGACGTTATTCTGTCACGTGAGTATATCCCTTCCTAGATAGAAATTTTTGACATTCCGATAGTTTTACTTTTCTTCAGAAAAGGCATCGGAATGCTCATTATCAGCACAAACTACTTTCAATGAGTCTTCAGCTTGAATCCAGCCCAGACCACTGGGTCAGTCTCTTCTCTGTTAGCTGTAGAGTTCACAGATGAAGTTGGTTTGGGGCCGTCTCAAAGCCCAATTCCTGGCAGAGCTCTTGATGTAAAATTGTCAATTCAGTACTGAATTAGGGTCAATCTCACTTCAAAGTGTGACTGGTGGACAGAAAGAGAAAAATAATTGTGTTCCTCCTGAGATATGTCGCTAAAATACAGTTGAGGGAGGATTATTTTACATGCGACCGACACAATTATTTGATTTGCTTAATATTGATGCTGGAAGCTTATCCTTTCCATAGAACAAATACCAGGAAATGGCCATCACCAATAAAAGACAATCTAACCATTGCCCCATGACATTCAATGGTGTTACCATCACTGAATCCCCCACTATTAACATCCTGGGGATTATCATTGACCAGGAACTGAACTGGACTAGCCATATTGATATAGTGGCTGCAAAAGCAGGTCAGAGGCTAGAATATTGCAGTGAAACACCTCTAGAGCAGGTGGAACTTGAACATGGGCTTCCTGGCTCAGAGATAGAGACACTACCATTGCACCACAAGCATTCTCAAAACACCTAACCAGTGAATACAGGAACAATTCATAGAACTTAAGGGCTCACCCAAGATTTGAACCCAGGATCTCCCTCATTTACAACATCTTCCTGAAGTGGGAATGATACACCTAAACTAAAAAAACCCAACAAAGTACAATGCCATAGTCTCAGAGGACCATGGGGTTGCTTTTTCAATAGAGAGATGACTACTGGTGAGTTTAACCTGAAGGTCACCATGACCCCTGTAAAGGGTGAGATTGAGGAGGTGGGATCTTTATGGTAACCTCAGCTGGTGCAGGAGTTGAACCCTGCTGTTGGCATCACACTGCATTGCAAACCACCCATCCAGCCAACTGAGCTTTCTGCATTAGAGAATTTCACAAGTTCACTATCCTTTGAGTGAATGCATTTTTCCTCATCTTAGTCCTAATGGTCTACCCTATATCCTAAGACTAAATCCCATGGTTTTAGACTCCCCAACCAAGGAAAATGCAGTCCCTGCATCTAGTCCATCCAACCCTTTTAGAAGTTGTACATTTCAATCCGACTGCCTCTTATCCTTCTAAACTCGAGTGAATACAGGCCCAGTCGAACCGATCTTTCTTCGGAGGATAGTCTTACTATCTCAGCCTAGTGAACCTGTGCTGCACTTCTTCTCAGTGTATCCTTTCTTGGGTGGGGAGACCGAAACTGCGTACGCTACACCAGGTGTGGTCTCGCCAAAAGCCCTGTGTTACTGTAGCAGGCATCCCTACTTTTAGATTTTCACATTTAGCCTCTTTGCCATGTGCTATATGTTTGCCCACTTACTCAACTTATCTAAATCACATTGAAGCTTCTTTCTCACAACTCTCAATCCCACCCAATTTTGTCATCATCCTAGTCATTTATAAATATAGTGAATGGCTGGGGCCCCAGCACTGATCTTTCTGGTGTTGCCTGCCACTCAGAAACGTACACATTTATTGCCATTCTGTGTTTCCTGTCTGTCAACCAATTCTTGATCCACACCAATGTATTACCTCTTATCCCATGTGGTTTAACTTCGTTCACTAACTCCTTATGAAGGACTTTATCCAAAGCTGTCTGAAATTCCATATACCCCACATTCACAGGTTCTCTGTTATCTATTCTACTGGTTACATCCTCAAAAACTCCAAGTAGGTTTGTTCTGTGTGATTTGCCTTTCGTAGACCATGTTGGCTTTGTCCAATCTCATGAATGCTTTCTAAATTTTCCATTATCATGTCCCTTTTTTTTAGAAATTAGATTCTAGCATTTTCTCTGCTGCTGATGTTGGGTTAATTGGTCTTTAATCCTGTGTTTTCCCTCCCTTTTTACATAGTAGGGTTACATTTGACACCCTCCAATCTGTAGGAATTGCTCCAGAGTCTATAGAATGTTTGAAGATGACCACCAATATATCCAACATTTACAGAGCAACTTCCCTTGGTACTCGGGAATGTGATTTGTCAGTCTTTAACCTCATTTATTTCCTGAGCATCCTTTTCTTTTACCATTACTGATTTCCTTCAATCTTGCCCTCTCACTAGACCCTTGGCTCCCTAACTAAAAATTAATTAAGGAAATTAAAATACTCGGCAGACATTGTAGACAGTGCTTTGCTGGAACTCCGTTTAAGGACTGATATTTGAAAAGCGTAACAGGTTGCTTCACTCTTCACCTTGAGCTGTGCTGTACCTCAGTGTCCAAATATTGCCTTTGTGGCCTGTTTAAGAACGTAACATTAAGTCTTAGGGGATCACGTTGAAAGCTTAAATTCACTGATTTAGGAATTTACAAAGATCTCTAACCCTTTATCTTCTTACCAATCAAGAACCTATCTCTGTCTTAAATACATTCAATATCTTGGCCTGATCAGCATTCTGCAGCAATGAGTTCCACAGATTCACCACCTGCTGGCTGAAGAAATTCCTTCTCATCTCAGTTCTAAAAGGTCGTCCTTTTCTCCTGACGCTGTGGCCCTCGGGTCCTAGTCTCTCCTGCTAGTAGAAACATCTTCTCCATGTCCACTTGATGCAGGCCTCTCTGTCCTGTACGTTTCAATCAGATCCCCCACCCCGTTATCCTTTTAAATTCCATCAAGTACAGACCCAGAGTCCTCAACTGCTCCATATATGACATCATCCCCGGGATCATTCCTGTAAACCTCCTGCAACGCCAGCACATCTTTCCTTAGATATAGGGCCCGAGACTATTCATAAACTTCCAAATGCCACCTGACCACAGCCTTATGCAGCAGTACATCCCTGCTCTTGTATTCTAGCCCTCTCCGAAATGAATGCTAACATTGCATTTGCCTTCCTAACTGCCAAATGAACCTGCATGTTAACTTTAAGAGAATTCTGAACTAGGTCTACTAAGTCCCTTTTGTTTCAGATTTCCAAAGCTATCCCCTATTTAGAAAATAGTCTATAATACTTCTTCCTACAAAACTGTATAACCTCTCACTTGCTACACTGTATTCCAACTGTTACATTTTCGTCCACTTTCCTAGCTTATCCAAGTCCTCCTTCAGCCGCCCTGCTTCCTCAACACTACCTGTCCCTCCACCCATCTTTGTGTCATCTCCAAACTTAGCAACAATGTCCTCAGTTCCTTTTGTCTAGATCATTAATGTTTAAGGTGAATAGTTGTGGTCCCAACATTGACCTCTGCGGAACTCTGCAGCTGCCATCCTGAAAAAGACTCCTTTATCCCTACGCTGTGCCTTCTGCCAGTAAACCAATCCTCTATCCATGCCAGTACCTTGCCCATACCACATTAGGCTCTTATCTTATTTAGCAGTCTCCTCTGCATTACCTTGTCAAAGGCCTTCTGGAAATCCAAATAGATCATGTCCAATGGCTCTCCTTTGTCTAACCTGCTCATTACCTCAAAGAATTCTAACAGATTTGTCAGCATGACTTCCCCTTGATAAAACTATGCTGACTCCGCACCATTTTTACAATGCACTTTCAAGTACTTTGCAATTTCATCCTTAATAATGGACTCTAAAACTTTACCAATGACTGAGGTCAGGCTAACCAGCCTATAGTTTCCATTGCATACAATCATTCTGCAGTCCCACATCTTGAGTTTGAAAATTCATCAAAAAAGTATACCTTTATCTAAAATTTCCTGCAAAAATTCAATCGCTGTTCGTTTGAGGGATAGTCACGGACCACATCCTGTTTGTTGGGTACTCCTCTTCCTTTTAATCTATTTTGGTATTGCTGTTGAAGTTATGTTAAACCTCAAGCTCAGTATACTGTTAATGGGGGGACAGAAAAGGATACGTAAAACATATAACATTAGGACCGATAAATGGTCTATTGTGTTTCTTTTGGTTTGTTAGTTTCACTGATCGTTGAACTCTAATTCTGACAACCAGAAGAAATAAGTTGAATTCTTTATTGTGAAGAAGGTATGGTTGAGTTTGACAAAGCAAAATCAAAATCCACAATGAGGTTAAACGAAAAGATCATTTCCTCTAAGTCTTTGTTCTTACCTTATGCTGGAAAGGTCAACACTTAGGAGTGTACGTTTTTGAAGATGCTGGAACTGCTCTGTTATATACTTCTTGACACACAGAAACAGGTGATTTGCAGCAAATCTTAGATGCATGTATACTCTTTGATGAATTTTCAAACTTAAGATGTGGGACTGCAGAATAAATAACACCTCTGTTTTGTGTTTTGGTGGTCAGCATTGTGCACTTTAAGGTATGTATCTAAGTTCTCTTGCATCCTTGCAGCCCAAGGGTCAGATATGGGTGTATGTCCTGGCAATCTATCCCTTAGAGTTAAGATAATGCCATCAGGTACTGTCGGTTATTATGCTATATTCAAACCTCCTTCCACCTTTGTTCATCTAACACTATCAACAAAATCTTCCTATTGCTTTCCTCTCTCATACATTTGTCTAGCTTCCCCTTAAATAGATGCCTCAACTACTTGTATCGAGCACAACTAAGACTTAGACTCATTGGATCCAATCGCCAGTTCTTGTCGATAAAAATACTATCCAACAGAGCTGTGCCAACACCTACAGATATGTGTCAGCATTTTCTGGATAAGTAGGGGAGAAGGCAGAGAATTAGAGGGATTGATCTTGTAGTTTAAGTCCCAAAATGTGGACCTTGGATTTACCTTGTAGAAGTGAATCGAATCATCATCACTGTGTAGAGGTCTACTTATTTCTTCCACTTGCCAGAAAGAACTCACCAATGATTGGAACACAGACATCAAAGGAAACACCAACAGACTAATTATCAGTGTGAGAGATAGTAGGAACTGCAGATGCTGGAGAATCCGAGACAACAAGGTGCAGGGCTGGATGAACACAGCAGGCCAAGCAGCATCA